GAACAAACTGATATCACGAATAGCCAAGTTCAGTGCTGGCATAAGATTAACGATTGTTGGCGTCATCGGTTAGTTCGGTTAATGAATTTCCAGTAATGGGTCACATTAAAGTAATATAATTATATTTGTTATTAAAATAAATTTCGGTGATACCCAATTGTAGCCACAATAAATATATATAGTTTGAAAAGATATACGTAAAATCTGCATCAATACACTTCCGATAATTTGAGATTTTAGTAAATTTTACAGGATATAAACACGTTATTCCAAATAAATTTGAGTCGGTGGCAGTTTCGAGTAAAATCCCCGTTAGCATCACCCGTATGGTGATGCTAATATACCGTCGGGTTTACTTTGCAATAAATCTCATAACGTATCGGTTCCCTAATTTCTTTGACAAATTAAACGTCTACCGCAGTCCCTTGATCAATATATCAAAAAGAAACTGGCCTTTATCTTTCGACAAGTTACTTAGTCGTTAATATTTCCAACGATTCATCAAATTACGCTGTGAGTTATTGTATAACGTTATACTTGCTCCTGGACGGTTCACAGCCATTCCCACAGCTCCAAGAGGCTCGGGAGGTATGTCCTTAGGTGTCGACATACTTACACGATCTACAACATTAGACTCCACTTTACTTAGAGCTCTACTGTTCTGCTCTGACGCTCATATATTCAATGTAGGAGAAGTGAAACCTGATGTTGCGATAGATCCATTCAAAGTGGACGAACTGTGTATGATACAATAACAATATATCAAACAAGGACAGCTGCCGAAAGTGAGGAATGGCCCGCCGTCGCCGAGTTAGTCCGCAAGGAGCTGAATGTAGTCGTATACGATAAATTATTTGCGATTTTTCTGTCTGGTGACAAGTTTGTGTTCATGTTATAACTAACGTCGAACGTGATCACATTCAGATAAGGTGTCTTCATTGTGACTTTTGGAAAGTATTGATAACTTTGTTACGACCAACTTGTATTTTTTACCCGTTTTAATTATACCATGTTTTTATAGTTTTCTGTTATAAATACTTTGTACAATAATCATAGACAATGCATTGTCATCTGTAAATTTATAAAACAAATTAAAATCAGTGCTCAACCAACTCGCGTTTTACTTATAAACTTATTATTATGTAGTCAGTAGAGTTTTTATTTATTATTTCATTACTCAGCGTGGAGTTAATCCTTTTTTGTTTTAGGAGGATTATATTTTTACTAGCGGCCCGTTCTCGCTTCGCTTCGGTGTAGACTACAGTTTTTGTTCTCAGGCTTGTATTATACACAATGACATTCATCTATGATTCTTCTTATACCTGCATGCAAAGTCTCAGCCCGATTGGTTTAAAATTGACAAACTTTCATGCAAACTTTCATTCCCTATTTTATCCTCTTGGGGGTAGAATTGATCAAAATCCTTTAGATGCCTACGTCGTAAATCTACTTGCATGCCAAATTTCAGCCCGATCCGTCCAGTGGTTGGGCTGTGCGTTGATAGATCACTATGTCAGTCAGTCATTTGATTGTTGCCACAGAGTACGTTCAGAATTTCAAAATATTTAAAGATTTGTTGATTTTCGTTTCAGAAACTAATTTATTTAACCCTGCTGTTAAATTGTCAATTTGACATGACTTTTAGAAACCGGGTGTTAGTGCTTCTCCAACATTGTTAATTGTTTCGGTTAATACACACAAAAAGTTAATTCTAACCGGGAATTAAGTTTTATTTCTGTAGATATAGCTGCATTTATCACATATGTTGAATCATTCCCTCTAATTTCACCCGCGATGTAACCGGAAACATTCAAGTGTCTCGAGCTACGATATACAAAGCTCTAAAAAGATATTACTATCGTAAATGTTCACGCTCCGGATGCACTGTGGAAAAGTAGCAGCCAGAAGATAACGTAAGGCCTCTTAGGCTCACTTGCAGCAAATTCGATAAATCTCGATTCAACCAAAACTAAAGTTAGTTTTGGTCCTCTGTCCTAGTAATCCCACGGAAAAATGTCAAAACGACAATTATGGATTATATGGACTAAATCTAGTTTTAGCAAAAACGAAAGTGGAGTAAATTTTTAACTACAAATACTAAAGCTGTTTTATTAATTTACTTTAAATAAAGATACCTACTTCATTATTTAAAATTGTGAAATATTTTGGAAACGCTTAAAATTGGAATTCATGTGGGGATATTATTGTTGATATTGGTAACTATGAAAACCCGGACAAGCGCGAATCAGTCTTGCCCATTGAGGGTTCCGTACACATTTGTAGGTTGAGTACCTACTACATATACTGCCGTATCTCGTTATTACGTTATTTTAGAAGTTTTATTTTTTTACAACTTTAAGAGAATATAGACCTGAGTATATAGTTAAAAATTTCGACTCGATTTCTCCCTGATCTACCAAGATAAAGGGTCTTGACAGGAAGCAGATAAAAGGCCGTATCTTTTTTATATGTTAACTTCGAAATTTGATTTGTTACACTGCTTCAAGGGACTGTGGACTCAGGTCCAAAGTTTATATACTCAGGTATATGGATTAAATAGCAACTCAATACCTCCACTTGTTCTCTAGATAAAGGGTCTTGACATACATAATATGGACAACAATGTGATCCTATACGGTTCCGTTTCTTTTATTTTTAGGCATGGAGTCCTAAAAATTGTAGCTCTTGCAAAAATAGTCTTGCAACGTCAAAGTGGTTTTAAAAGACCAATTCAACGATATCCCATACGATGGGGTAGACGGTGATAAAGAGATCACCCCAACATTAAATGTAGGGGAGCTACCCTAAAAAAGTTTTTTTTTCATTTTATATGGGTCCAACTTTGGTATAACCTTTTCCAATAAAAAAATGCAATTTCAAAATCTACTCTACACTACTTAGTAAAAAGTTATACATGTTAATATATAAAAAAAAATATGCGTTGAATTGCTCATCCGTGTTTTTCGTCGGTTGAAATCACGTCGGCTGAAATTTCGAAAAAACGTCGCAGACTAAACGTAAATATTGTTTTGTTAAATATTTATCGACCACTTCAAGAAAATTATTAGTTTTGGTATTGTCTCAGGGGCTCGAGTGTTTATTTATTGATTAATTCTTAAATTATAATTGATTTATTTAATTTTGTGTTTTATTTATTTGTTTAACCTTGACCCTATATCGCTTTAAACTTTATTGGTCACCCATTTCATGGTTTGACAAATAATACATAGGAATAGATAAGTATCCAATCTGTGTGGCCTGACACGCAACAATTTGACTTCATATTTTTGTATTTTAGACAATAATACACACATCAAAAGTGTCTAGGGATCAAGCATTTTTATGCGGATTTCTTGAGATTGAGATGTGGCTTTGTAATAAATTTATGATTTTATAAATTTATATGGATCCTTTTTGGTGCATTTCATAATTTGAATCAGGAACTGTGAATCAAATTCGAGTAAAAGATGAAAATCAGCTGTCAATATTTTCCCTATAAAAACATACAACGCATTGAAGACATTATTAGTGCTACTGTTTCCCTACTACTGATTAAAACCAACGTTATTATGGAGCGGCGACGTCATTTAAGCAGGGAAGAAATGCTCAGAGCCGTGGGAATGATAGAAGCTGGTTCCCGGCAACGTACTGTGGCTTTAGCTCTGAATACAAGTCAGAGTGTTATCAGTCGACTTTGGACACGATACCGAAGCACTGGTACCGTGGCTGAGCGCCATGGAGGACGGTATCGCTGCACCACACGGAGACAAGACCGATACATTCAAATCTTAACTCGAAGAGCTCCAACAATAACCGCCATGATGTTAGCCGTGAGGCTTCATCACTCTTCAGGGAACTTAATTAGCGACCAAACAGTCAGAAACCGCTTGCATGAAGTGAACCTTCATTCCCGAAGACCGCTACGGGTACCACCTATAGCAATGCACAATCGTAGGATTCGATATCAATGGGCTCTTGAACACAGAAATTGGGCAGAAGAACAATGGCGTTTCGTGTGCTTTTCTGATGAGTCTCGTTTTGGTATGAGACCGGATACAAGACGTATACGACACTGGAGAACCCCTGGACGCCAACAGCGATTAAAATCCTGCCAGGAAGTCCATCCTTATAGTGGTGGAACCATCATGGTATGGGCGGGTATTTGGATCGGCGGAAGAACTGAGTTGATTTGGATCAGAGGCAACCTCAACGCTCAAATTTATGCTGAGACGATTGTATCAGACGTCATCGTTCCTCTACAAGTGCAAATCGGTTCCTTATTTCAGTTAATGCATGATAATGCACGACCGCACACCGCAAGAGTTGTAAGACAGACTCTCGCCGCAGCTAACATCAATGTCCTGCCCTGGCCTGCTCAGTCGCCAGACTTGAACCCGATTGAGCATGCATGGGATATGCTACAGAGAAGAGCTCTGCCGAATATGGAGGGTATCCAGTCGCAAGAAGACCTTTTTTTGTTGTTGCAACGAACATGGGCGGCCATTCCACAGCGTGATTTGGATGAACTCATTTTGAGTATGCCAAACCAATGTTCTTGTGTTGTTAGTGTTCGCGGTAGAAATACGGATTATTAATTGTTTAAGTTACCCAATAAAATTTTAGAGAAAACTGTTATTTCAGCCTTTTTTTCGAACTTTTGTGTTAGTGGTTCAAATGTCAAAAATCCCTTTATTAGGAAAATGGCAAATTTCTTTATTAATGCAAAGGTGACTTGGTTTATCGTTACTGTGACAAACGAAAACACTTTATTTGATGAATCCTTAAAGAAATTTTTAATTAATATCAATCAGGAGAAAAGTTATTGCAAAAATATATGTTGATCCCTAGACACTTTTGATGTGTGTATTACGAAGGGCATTCAAGTCATGGATGGGATATACGAGGTTTATGAGCCCGTTGTTACAGTAAACTACGTCTAAACTAAACAGTGATATTATTGTTGTGAAATTATTTAGTGATGAGAAAAATACTTTTATTAATTAGCTTTTCGGTGCTTCCTTTGGTTGATTTTCAACGTTTGATTGCGCAGCATTTGTAGTATTTGTGGTCTCGGCGGCAGTTGCATCTGTGTTCATGTTGGTATTTGAATCTGTGTTCACTATAGTATTTTCATCTGTAGTAATGCCGATAGTTTCATTGCCAGATACGGTATTTTCATCTGTGGGCATGATGGTACTTTCATTGTCAGTAATTGCTGTCGTTACATTCATTTGATCCGTGGATTCTGAGGGATCTGCCATTTCTATATCGTCAGGTAGCTTGAGGATATCATGGAAGTCTCTTGGCTGGGCTCTGTTCACGAACACGCAGGTGTTGATGCATTCGTACTCGTCGTGGAACATGTTCAGGTTGGGTGTGCAGCCACGCCAGACGCCGACCTCGCAGCGGGAGCCTGGCTTCCAGTAGTACATGACTGACTGGGGAGGAGCACCGCAGTCGTCCCAACGGAAGTCAGCGAAGCATGCTTCTGGTGGTACTGTAATATTGAAATCAAATGCAGAATCACAGAGTATAATGCAAGCAACATATTATCTATACTATTGTTTGGGACAGTCAAGTCTCCTATCTAATGATGAACTCGTATACTTGATAAGACGTTTAATTACGTTTAAATTACAATAATTGAATGATAGAAAAATTTGTATGCGTATAGTGCGCCGTTTAATATTCGAATGCGCGGGTCTTCTTCGTGGCTTCTTTCACCAGCTTCTTTCACCCGTTACGTTTCGTTTTTCGTCGTTGTGTAAATTGGAGACACAAGCGTCGACAACTATATACATAGAGCAAATGCACTCTATTATTTTGTTATTAGCGGCCGCTCAAGACTTTATCCGCGTCTACTTTTGTTTTTTTTTAATCCCACAGGAACCTCATATTTTTCCGGGATAAAAGTATCGTATGTCTCAAAACAGATTTACATCTAAATGCGTACCAAATTTCATCCAAATCCATTCAGTAGTTTTTGCGTGATTGATTAAGAAACATACAAATTTTAACATTTACAATTTTCACATTTTCAAAATTTAAATGTCTACTACCATATTAAGTTTCAGTCCATCGTCATTATCAGCCTTAATATTCGGCCTATTTACGTACCCTCCATACTGGGGCAAATCCTTATAAGGTTATGAGCAAGACAAGTAAAAAATCGACATTAATGGCTTATCATGTCTTCAGATGAACCGGGAAGCTCAAGAGGTCATCCAGCTCTTTCATAATGAAAGTAACTTAACTTCGACGAACACAAACTGAACGCGTTAATCATTATACCTTCAGGTCACCTACACACATACAATTATTTTTTATTCTTACCAGCATAAACTGTTATTGCGGAAAACATTAAAACTGTGAAATAATTATGAAATTTTGCGTCCATATCGTCGCTTTTACACTTCCAAATGAGAAAATTTTAATTATTTGTTAATTTAAAACCCGTTAATACGATTGGCGCTTACAATGTACAAATTACGATTTGCATTTATTTAACGATTTATAAAATTTTAATGGCAATATATGATTACTGCGTTGTGGAAAATAATAAGTGAATGAATGTTACTAATACTCACCAATTAGCCTTTTAAGCCCCAAAGTAAGCACTGCTTATGGGATACAAGGGTGACGGATAGAAATACATTATAATACATACAGGGTGTAAAAAAACCTATAACGAAGTCGGAGGTCACGTATTGTCCACATCATGACGATAATTTTTTTCTTCTGGACCATACCTGGGAAATTTATGGTTATGGAGATAATGAAGGTCAAAGTCAAATTTTGTTTTTCAAGATTTATACATTAATATTTTCAAAACGTTATTTATTTATTTAAATTTACAAAAGACCTACCTTTTATCGCAGGGCTAATAATAGTACAAGCTTTTTCGGTTTATTTTTCAACATCATTAATTAGTGCTTTTATTTTAATAATCTATCTATATACATAAAACTCAAAGGTGACTGACATAGTGATCTATCAACGCACAGCCCAAACCACTGGACGGATCGCTCTGAAATTTGGCATGCAGGTAGATGTTATGACGTAGGCATCCGCTAAGGATTTTATTCAATTCTACCCCCAAGGGGATAAAATAGGGAATGAAAGTTTGTCAATTTTAAACCGATCGGGCTGAGACTTTGTATGCAGGTATAAGAAGAATCATAGATGAATGTCATTGTGTATAATACAAGCCTGAGAACAAAAACTGTAGTCTACATTACAGCTCTACACCGAAGTGAAGCAAGGGCGGGCCGCTAGTTATTCATATTTTTAAAAAGTAATTGCACTCTAAATACAGTAAAAATAAAAGATTCGCACGTATTTACATGACTTACATTTTAAAAAATATAGTTTGTTGAACATGGATACTTAACATTTTTATAATTTTCTGAACTTTTGTCGAATGGTTTGTATTTTTGTAATCGCATTAAATCAAAACTACTAAATTCAATGAAACAAATGGAAATTATATTCATATTGTGTATCTCAGACAGAGTGTATTAAAGACAAATAAAACGCAGCCAATCGCCTCGTTTTATTGTACATGAGCTCCCGTGCATTTTTGCAGTAAACCTTCTTTAGGCACGCTTGACTTGGGGTGTAAACTGGCGAATGTGTTACGATTTCGCGTTACGATTAGTGTCATCGGTGACTCGTCAGTAAATAATGTACAATACCCGTCACAAAATACATGAACCTAGTGCTTGTTGGGTGATAACGGACCCAGCGCGGATTGGTGGGTGATAACGGACCCAGTGCGGATTGGTGGATGATCAGATACCCAGCGCGGATTAGTGGGTGATAACGGACCCAGTGCGGATTAGTGGGTGATAACGGACCCAGCGCAAATTACAGGGTGATAACGGTCCCAGTGCGGATTGGTTGGTGACAATGAACCCAGTGCGGATTAGTGGGTGATAATGGACCCAGTATGGATTGGAGGGTGATGACGGACCCAGCGCGGATTGGTGTTTTCTTTTCTATCAACAAATCTTCAGGTTAAGTTTATGATTTTCAGGTCGTTAGAGTTAAAAAAGTTTCACTTCAGTCGTGTGGTCAAAAGCAAACTCGCTTTTTTTAAGTTCAAAAGGGTGACAAACAAGGTATGGCTCGCCTAATGGTTAGCGGCCACCATAGCCAATAGCCGCTTGCCATAGCAAAACCACACAGACGGTGGTCAATCAGACAATCAGCTTTATCATTGAAACGCCTAGAAAGAAATCTACTTGGGTCTTTAGTTGTCACCCTCGAGCGGTTCGTTCCGCGGCACGAATCGCCAAGTACACTTTTTAAATCGGGCATTCCGTCCCGCATCCAAGGCTGAACGCTGAATCCATCGTTCCTTAGATGCGGGGCAGAACTACCAATTCAAAAAGAGTACTTGGCGATTCACCCCTCGGGAGGAACCGCTCGTGGGGTGAAATGACTGAAGACAAGTCGACTTGCTCGAGATCCCGATATAGGTACGGTAAATTCAATACGCGCTCAAGTCTCGGCCAGTCGACATCTTTCTAGGCGTTTGAACGGTATGGCCTCCCCCCATAGGAACGTTATTATCGGTCGGTAATATCGGATGCGATATTACGATATTTGTTTTTAGTATGAGAAGAGTAGTTTTATTAGGAGTAACTGTTACTGCGTCATCATGGCGCTTGGCAACAGTGCCGAAATATCAGAGACTCACAAAAATTAAGGTGCATGGTAGTATAGAATTCTTTCCTCATACATATCCAGCTAAAAATCCCGTAATCTGACTTTCGAATCTTGTACAAGGTTTGCCCCTAGAATTCGTAAATGTATAGTCAAACGGGTTAACTAACCATAGACTGTAAACAAATGTTTTTTCCGGTAAAATTTTCTTTAGATTCAAACCCCTAACTGAGAATAAAAAGTATAATAAAAAGAGATTAAATAATTTTTATAAATTTATCTAACAAAATCTTGTACATATGAGTAGCGTTCTCGTACCTCGTACGGAAGACCAGAACTGTCGTTATTGTACGAGAATTCTCGTTCGATTGTCAACGCTGATTCGGAGATAATAGAACTTTCATATAGACTACATTAATGGTACCTACCTACGTTTGACGATATAACACAAATGTTAATTGAACAAAATTTTAATGGCCCACATTAAAACGGTGGACGCTCTAACCGCAAACTGGGCTAGTCTCTACGAGCGAAATTCTTCTCGGAAAACGTTACCGATACTGTAGGAGCGGACGCAACGCAAAAATTCGCGTTCACTTAAATGCAGACTAGATGTCTCATGTGCATATACTCGTACCAGAAATTTCTCGTGTATAAAATTTCATATGAAACCCGCAATAAAAGTGTTTGAGGAGAAATGCAATATAGTTTTGGACATAGTTGCAATATTCGACGTTCTTTTAACGATAATGTTAGTCATAAATTATTTCATATTATTATTATTGAATGAGATAGGCAGCTTCTGGGAGAAGTTGTGTCTGGGAGAAGACAAACATTGTTATAATGTTATTGATTTGACGACCTCCGTGGCCGAGTGATTTGTACGCCGGGTTTCATGGTGTCACCGACTCGAGAGGTCCCGGGTTGGAATCCCGGCGGGGGTAGATGTTTGTGTGATGAATACGAGCATTTGTACTCCAGTCATGGATGTTTAATATGTATTTATATAAATATACTTATATAGGTATGTACAGTATCAGTATTCCATCCGTTACCCTAGCATCCCATAACACAAGCCTTATAGTGCTTACTTTGGGGCTAGGCTTATTAGTGTGAGTGTTGGAAATATGTATTGTTATTATTTATTATACAACATAGCATGATTATCTTAACTTAAAACTCAATTTGACATCAGCCTCTCCTTTTCCTTATATAAGGAGAACGATGAGGATACGCTGTTGTCAAATTTAAGTTTGGGTTAAGAGAACCATGCCAGAATCGACACAATTATAGATTTTATTATATCTGTTTTTTACTACTTCTTAAGTTAAGTCTCAGATTTGAACTTAGTTTAAAATTAAGTGCGAAACTTCTTTAATTTGCATGCCGTATTCAGGTCACACTGAAAAGGCGTTCTGCAAATAAAAACTGAAAAGAAAAAAAACAAGTCCAGTAGTCTATAATTCTGTGTACAAAGCTACTTTAAAAGTCGGGACCAATTATTGAGAAATTTGATCCATTCTTGAATATGTAATGGGTCCTGACTGTTAAAGTAGCTTTGTACACAGAATTATAGACTACTGGACTTGTTATTTTTCAGTTTTTATTTGCAGTAATGTAAAGCAGTGGGATTTTTTGTTTTTTAAATTTACCTTTTTTTTTAATATAATGTATTATTACATATGTTATCATTGTATGCCGGTTTGTGAACCAAATAAAGAAAAATTTTATACCATCGCTCAAAATATTGCTCTCGTTTGTAAGCTAAGGGGCATTTGGTTAAAATATTAGTAACAGTAACTTTATGACTAGCACCCAGAACTTCAAACAAATAATTAGAAAATTAAAAAATATTTTCCATGGGGTCCTAGCGCTGTAAGGCTTTTTAAGGAAATAGCAAAAAGGTTAGTCGACATCACAGGAGACCGAAGAGCTGGCAGCTACCTCGGACAAAGCATTAGTCTAGCTATTGAAAGGGGGAACCCTGCCAGTATCTTTGGAACCTTGCCTAAAGGGACCCCTTTTAATAATGTATTTTAGTTATTATATATTTTAAGGTTTAAAAATAATTTATTTGGTTATTTACATAGACATATTTAAATAACAAAAGCTTAAAACTACTCAATGTCTAAAAACTTAAAAATAGAATTATCTTAAAACTTACCTACTTAAATAATTACAAAATTGAATTAAAATTGAAGCGAACCAAATAGTTTGGGGACGTCTAACTCACCAAATGCTGAGCTAGGCATTATAAATTGATCATTTAAACATTAACCGACTTATTGCAGAAAAAATAACACGTAATGCTTTCTATGTCTTCCATTTACTAAACAAAGGGGTCAATATAGTTTCTTCCGGGTCTATAGTGTGTGTTTATGAAGATAGCGTAAGTCATTGCGCAGTTAATAAAATGAACCTAGCTCCGTGCTTTGGAAGACCTTGTGTGCTTTCTAAGCCGCCTGCGGGCAAACGCTTATTGCCACCGTATTAACATAAAAAATATTTGGAAGTACGTATAAACTACTTAATTTGTTAACACGCGGGGTTTACGGAACTGCATCCTGCGCAAGTGCGCATAATTGTGTTCGCGGCTAATTTCAGAACCGCAATACAGCTTGATTCTCACGAATTTTTTATTATTTTTATAAACAGGTCCGACAAATGACTCCAACGGTTGAGTCCAGACGGGAA